ACAACTATCGGAGCGCGCCAGCACCGAAAACAAAAATCCCCGTGACACGTCCGATCGCGTCGCGAGTAACTGGCGTCCGCGATACGTTCCCAGCCTCGAATTAGACCGTGCACCGTCGATTAAGCCGACGACGACAGAGGAAACCGGGCTGGCAGTTACGCAAACCGGAAGTACCCGCCGCGTCGTCGAGCGAATCGATCGCCGGGATAGATCCCGGATCAACGAGTGGACGCGGGCCCGTTCCGCGCCGGCGCCGGGCGTCGGGAAAATCGAAGACAGCCGTTAATCGCCGCGCCGCGACTGCTTCGCGAGGGACAGGCGTACTCGTCTTTGCATAAATTATGTAACCGGCAGCCGAAGGCCGCCGCCGCGGCGATGGCGATTGCCCGCCGAGCCCGCGATCGATGCGGCGGCTTCGTCTAGAATTTCAAACGCGAGCCGACACCGCGGAATCCGCGGAGCCGAGCCGCTTACGTGGGAATCGAACGCGAATCAAGTGGAAGTCGCTCTGTCTGGGGCCTCGAGCCGATTAACCGGTTAACTGTGGAATTTCAGCGGGAAAACCTCTCGTTCTGCGCGCGATAAAATCGAAAAACGGAGCGTCTACTCGTCGAAGGACGAATGCGCGTAGAGTATATTTGAACACAGGCGATGGCAATTTTCACTGAAGTCAACTTGTAGCGCTATACATAGAAGAACTCATATCATATTGTTATGTGATATATTTTAAATAGGTAATCAATTCGAATCAAATTTTATATCTTCTTCAATGCTGTGGTAATTGGCGAAGTTGCATAGCTAAGTGTCTTTATATAGAGTCGAGACTTCTCGGTACGCAACGTGTTAACGAAAGATCAAAGCTGAACAAAGAACTACTTGTTTGTGTGAACAGAGTTCATCGTTGAAAGAATTAGTATCGTGTCAATTACTATTATCTATTTATTTACCAACGTCTGTCTACTTACTGAATGGAGTTTTTGTACAACGTATCAGTGCAACGATTAGCTTCGATAATATTAAATATTCTACGGTATCATTTCACGCACTCGTCATTAGGGAACTCGATTATCAGCAGGTTGAAGGTAACAAAAACAGAGCACAGCGGGCGTCGTTGCAACAAGCGGAAACTACAGACGCTTGCGTCGCGGAGCCGCGAGAAACAAAAATTTCATCGTCAAACAACGCTGCGTTTACACGAACCACGTTTGTTTCTCCATTTTCCAACCTCCCCGGCGAAAATGTTTGCCACGCAAATAGTCATTTTTAACACTTTGCGGTCAGCAACTCGCACGTGCCGGCTGCTCTCTTTTATTTCAGTATATTCCAAGCTTCTCGATGTTTTCGCCTATCGAATAAATATCGATACAAAGGGAAATCGACGTTTATCGTTGCCATATTCAATGACGAGTGCAGTGAAATATATTAAATCAATAAAACTTCATAAATTAAAGCATGTGATAGGAATCGGTTCATAGTTTCAACTAAAAAGTTCTTCGTTTTAGCGACAGAGTAAAAATATTACTCATTTTTGACGATGCACACGTGCTCTCTTCTGTTCCACAAACTTTTACGTGTCATAAATGTAGAAAAACCTGTGGCGTATTAACCCTTTGCACTCGAGAATGTTCTCCTCATTAAACATTCATTATTTTTTGCAACATAAAGGAATACCTCGCATAAATTATGTGACAGAACTATTTTACTTCGATGTTATGTGTTGATGCATGATATAAAATTTAATATTGAATTTTCAATTTTACCATTTTCTTGTGTCAAATCGAATGGCGACTGAAAGGTAACTCTCGAGTGCAAGGGGTTAACGATGAAACACTCGGCTCCGATTTTCCCGAGAACCGAAAGTATTCGAAGCGTTTCGCGGTAAACGAAGCTTCGCTTAAGAAACGTCCGGCCGTCAGCTCATCTTCGATATAATTTTTCCCCGTTCCCGCGGACTTTATTCGAGCCACTTCTCATGCAAGGCGATTGAAGTTCGCAGAAAGCATAAAGCCCGAAATTTCGGAGTTCCCTGTGTCACGGGAAGTTCGCAGTCGACGAACTTCAAAAACTTTTTAAGCCCTCGAGTTTCCACGGCCCGGAAATTTTCTTCACGGTCTTCCCTTAATTTTCGAATTTTTTTCTTTCCACGTTCTACCCGAAATTGTAGCACGGAATTTCATAACACCCGCGAACGTTGCAAAACCTTGGCCAGCAGAATCTGAAGTTAGGGATATTTCCAGTGAAACTAATTCGCTGTGCAAGAAGTTTTTCTACAGCGAAAATAGAAGTTAATATAATCGTCTCTGCAGGTGATTTAGGATATTAGTAAATTTCTATTGTGCAAATTTCACTCTTCGCGGAGAATTTTTGAAACTTCAGAAAACGTTTTCCAAGTTTTTAAACGCTAGAAGAAAGAAAACAGGTCACTTTCTCGTTCGAATAATTCGAATAACCATTCGCAGCTTTCGAATTTATATATCAAAGCTGGATTCCATGAACGCAAAGAGATAAATTTTACTTAATTATCTTTATATTTTAATAGCATCGCTATGAGATTCGCGAATAGTTCTGGAATATTATTAAATTTTCATCGTTGCTCGGTTTGCAGGTGATTTCGAATATTAGTATATTTTCCGTAGAAAAGACTTTTCGACTGTCAGAATAAGCGAGTCCGGCCACATTAAATCACATCGACCCGGTCTACAACTGTACCGGCTTTTCCACTCTAGTTGTTTTCTGGCCCGCGGCGTACGACAACTCAATTCCGTTCGATCCGTCATTTTTACTGGCCGCAAGAAGCACCGCGTTTCCTTCGGAACAGGCGAGAAATGCCTTGTTCTCGATCAACGCGAGATCCTTTTGTCAATTGCATTCTAAAACATCAAAATTCGATTCTCATTGTCGGAATGCCCCTCACTTTTCTCCTCCTTATCTGCGATTTTCCTTCGACATTTTTATCCTGGAGAATTTATTGCGCGAATGTCAATGTTTATCGTAAATATATAAAATTCAATAGTGACTCATATCGTAATATAGTGTCTTGGTTAATTGAATTCACTTTCCTTTCGTTTCAAATCAAAATTCAAATTCCATTTCCCTCATTTCGAATAAAAATTCAAATTCAATTTCCCTAATTCCAAATAAAAATTCAAATTCAATATCCTCTCATCTCAACTAAAAATTCAAGTTCCATTTCCTTTAATTTCAAACCGACATTCGAATCCCATTCCCTCTGATTTCGAATGAAAATTCAAGTTCAATCTCTGTCGAAGCTCCCCGGCGTTTTCAAGATTAGTTTATCCCGCGGTTATTCCTCTAAACGGTCGTTTCCGGGACACTTGAAAGCAGCACGGACAATTTCGAGTTCTCTGTACGTTCCGCAACCGACCGTGCCGCGCCGGCACACGTCGTGCACCGGTGAACAGTCCTCCGCAGAAGAACACTTGGGTCCGACGTTGAATTCGCGAGCCGCAGGATCCCGCGGTTGCTCGAGCCATGTTTCCAGTTCAGCCGGCGACCGCATCGATTAAATTCGGTTCCACTCTATTTGCCATTTTTCCGCCGCAAAACAGGAAACGGACAAACATGATGGCCGGGGGAGCCCGGGCAAGTCTCGCGGGGTTCTTAACCGGAAGCCGCAACTCATTGAAACTTTGAATTGAATCGGGCCACTGCTAGCTTCGGATTTAAACCGTTGAATGGCCGATACTCGGGGCTGCTTGATAATATACGTTCCCGGCCGACCAACTTGCGCCGGGAACGAGGTTATTAACGTTCACGGGGACCTTCTAACCCGTACAACTCCAATTTCCAGGGGAACGAGTCGCCGACTCGCGTAAACAAATTTTTAGAAAAACCTTTGTTCTCCGATGTAATGTTTTTAATTATATATGGTAACAATTTTTTAGGATCTCTCTTATAAAATATGAAATCCTATATCTTTTAATTGTGAAACAGAGCTTTTATTTTTAATGCGTGCACGTTAACTCGTGTGAATTTGGAGTTAATGTAGCCTTGGATAGAAATGAATGATAGATCATGCGACTGTTAGTGTAATTTCAGTACTACGTAGTTTTTAATTCAATTGATATGTAATTTTCCATTTGGTTGAGAATTAACGGTGAAGATTGTTACTTGGATTAGAGTGAATGGTTGAGAAAGTTGCGATGAAGGATGTGAAATGTAAAGTTCCTTCATTGTTGGTTGATAGCAAGAATAATATGTGACTGTTGATGTAGTTTTAGTACGTGGCTTTTAACGTGATTAATATGCAACTTGACGCGTAGATGATAAATAATGGAAGGAAGCTGTGCCAGGTTCGCTACTGGGTCACCCATTTCCTTTATCCTTACAAAATATCTTCATTTTCCGCTCTCTCCTCTACGACATCTTTATTTCCGCGGCCTGATTCTCCCAAGGAATCTTTTATCCTTGCTTGTTTACCTCTCCCTAAGAATCCTTTAGAAATTTCGTAATACGGAGCGACGTATTTATGAAATTCTCCGTTGTACTTCGCGCACCCTTCGCCGGGAACACCGTCTTGCAGAACGTTGCCCGTATTCAACACTGGATCCGAGCAGCCCTTCAATTTGGCGAATTTCAAGATTCTCCTTTAAAGCTCGTAGAAACCGGGAATATTATTCCCCGACAATTCCCGTCGGTTTCGA